CCCACAGCAAGTCTCTATAGCAGCAGCTGATAGTGATGCAAATACACACTGCAGTAAAGGCTGCACAATGTCAGTTTCTCAAAACAGATGGCAACGTGAAGACCAGCTCCTCTTTCTTACAAGCCTTTCCCCATGAACATGAGCCATGAGCATATGCAAACTTATTCACACATACAGTAAGGAGGTCAAAACAGCAAACGCAGATCAGGCCAGTCCTGCAGAGTCACCCTATTGCCGCAGTGCATGCAGAATAAGGTCCAGCAGAGCACAGCAATAAAGCTGCTACAGCAGTGCTCTTACTAATTAACATAACAAAGAAAAAATAATAATGTTCTAATCCTTGAACAAATATAATCATTCAATAATAACAAGACTGTTTTTTTTCTTTTATGCTCACCAGGGTTAATGGTGCTCTTATAGTTTCGTTACATCAGGCATTTATTGGACTTTTGCCCTCATTTGGCTTTGGTTAAAAAGCACTTCTGGATTTCTAAGGGGCTGTCTGAGCTTAATCAGGTCAAATGCTCAAAATATCCAATACACCATAGGTTTGTCATTAGTGAGCCAAGCAGCAGCAAATGAAACCACGCCAGAGTGCTGCAGCCTAAATGATCGTGTTAATAGCGTGTGTGAACCAAAGAGCATTGATAAAAGCAGGAAATCAATAATCACATTATTACAGTGTACAACTCAGCACTGCCTACATGAATCTCTTTCACTGTCGATTGACATTGCTTATCTCTCCTGCCTATTTCAGGCATGTATCATCTGAAGTGGTATTTTTGTGAACACTGGATGGATAGAAGAATATCTGCTCTCTTTTTTCTCTGTGTTGGTCTCCACCATCTCCTGAGTAACGTATGTACTCAATTCTTCACTGTGAACAGCCACGAAAGGGCGAGAGATGGAACACAGAAAAGATCATCAGGACCAAAATCAAACATATAAAGTGAAAAAATGAGAGGAAATTTTTTTTGCTTTTAGCCTCTGGTTTGACTTCATTGTGCAGCAATAATTGCAGCTAATCTTTTGAATAACTGTTGATGAGTCCTGCATCGACTTTGGAGGATCTTTTGCCCATTTCATAGTTTATAATTTATAATTTATATTTTACTTAGCGTTTATTTATTTTATGCTTATTTATTCTATCCTGTTATTCTATTATTAATTTAGACTTTACCTAATATTTATTGATTTTATTCTTATTCATTTTTTTAATCTTCTTACTCTATTTATATTTATATTGTATCCTGTTCTTATTTATTTTATCATTTTACCCTGTATATATCCTATTGTGTCATATCTCCAGTGTTTCCTCAGAGGGCGCTCTCTGCACCGGGGCTGTGATCGACTGTGGCTGCTGGGTCTCTGGTGGTCCTCTCAGCCTGGCTGGGGGGCTCCTTTGCCTCCCTCCTGCTGTGTGCCCAGCCTGGAGGCTGCGGTCTGTGACCGGCTCCCGGTGCAGACGGCTCCCTGTTATAGTGTTTCCTCACTTGGCTCATGCGAGCCCAGCCCAATTTTTACTCTTTAAGTGTGCGCGTGTGTGTAGTGTGTGTGTGTGTGTGTGTTGGGGGGGGGATATGTGTGTATTCACATCATTTATGTTAGAGGGTGGGGTGGGCTGCTTTTAACTATGTAAAGCACTTTTTTTTTTTTTTTGTATGAAAAGTGCTTTATAAATAAAGATTGATTGATTGATATAACATAATTTAATGTTGCTAAGTTTCCTTCCATAACTTTAAGGTTTGGACTTGAACTTGGTTGTTCCAAACCATTATTTTTATTCCTTTATTCATTTTTCTGTGTTCAACTGAACAACTTGGAAGATTTCATGAGATCATAAGAAATCTCACTTGTGTATTTCCACCAACATGTTGTGAAGACGAGACTTTTTTAATCTCTGTTTTTGTAATGTAAAAACAGGGGTGCATACTCACACTTGATTATCATCCCAGTGACGGAAAATACCTTACAAATAACAATTTGTAATAATGATTCAATTTGTTAAATTGGTTGTCTTTATCTACCTGTAGCAACATTTAGCTTCCAGTTACACAGGCCTAAACACCAGTTGGTGACCAGGCAAACACTGGCCACTAGAGAAACCAGTGGTGAGTGGTTACTGGAGGTTGCTGCCATTCCCTGTTAAGTCCTTTGCTAAAGTAAGTCACAGAGGCATAGAGGCTGCTCGTTGACCCCCTTGCAACCACCAATCACTAGTCTTGGTCTCTAAGTGATGGTGAATTTTGTGTGAATGCAAAAAGAGACTGTTTGTCTTCATAGTAAAAGTTGCAGTGTTTGGAAATGTGTTGGTTTCAGCAGTAAGACATACGTTGCATTAAAGCAAACATTCTCAGTTTCTTTGTGCTGCACTTTTTCAGGTTTCACTACTGCTTGGTGGTTATTTAGCGAGTATCTGGTAAATGGGCTGATTGTCTACCTGAGCACTAAAAAGTGTTTTATACAACTTACCTCATTCATCCATTTATACATGTAGTTTTTCTACCTAAAAACACTCACACGGAAGCACCAGAGTTCATACTCCAACAGATGTACTGGAGTATGACTGCAGCAGTAACAGCCAGGAATAGATCCACCAACCTTGCGACTAGCAGATGACCTGCTCTACCTCCTGAGCTACAGCCACCCCAGTCTGCAAGCAAGTCATCATCTTCCATGCACATAACAGGTGACTGCAGCAATCTAGCAACCAAAGCAATTATATGAAGGTTGCTTGTGCAGTATTGTCTTTACGACCAGGTTCACCTAACAACTGCTACTAAAGACTACCAGCAACCTTCAGCTACAAATCACTATCTGCTCAGGGAGTACACATTCTTCTCTAGCGATCTGAGGGCCGCAGACCGGTCTCTAGGTGTGCAACTGAGGTCTGAAGAGCCACTTATACAATTAAACTTAGTATTGTGTAAAATTAAGCTTTCAGCTATTTCCCCTGCTCTTTCTTCTTTATAGCCACTAAACCTTATCTCCAGTTACTGTAGAAATATTGTGCAAACAACTGAAATTCAAAGTGACATGTTTTACTGCACATGTGGGCTATACCTGTACTAAAAGGGAATACCCTTTCTTCCTTTGCAGCATTCATGGATTTGAAGGTTTGATTGACACTACAACAAATAGAACAAAGAGCATTTCTTAAACTGAGAGACCACCGGAGCAGTGCCACACTTGAAGGATCAACAATTCTGCTTGTTGTTCCTAAAATTTACTCTCCATGAGTGCATCTGGATAAATGGCACACATTTTTGCCTGGTGACTACGTCACCATGGCAACGGTCAGTCCGCCACTTGTTTGGAACGTGACCAGAAGGAGAGTGGCTATTGGCTGGGTGCACTGAGGAACAGGATGAAGGAAGGAGCCTGCTGCTGACAAGATGGCAATGCTGCAAAGGACAGCTCAGTCTTACAGCTTGCAGCAATGCATTGGACTTCTGTTTCAGACAGCGTACTGACCGTATGTGGCCTCATAAATTAATTAAGGTTCATAAGTGTGGCTGGAGAACTGAACAGTCCTAACGGAACAGGCTCAGTTCCCCAAGAGCCCCTGTGACTCCTTGGGTGCCTGGGTCTGGTAGACCCTTTCTGAAGGGTATCTAAAAAGAGATTCAAAATGAAAGGATAAAAGAGACTCAACAACAAACAATTTAAACATGAAAATAGAACTTAAAATGGCAACGGAAATGGAATGGCTTTAAAATTAAGTGCACAAATACACACATTTCCTTAAAAAGGCAACAAATGATTCAAAACAATTACAAAGACCCAAAACAACTATGAAAGATCCAATAAAACAACACCTAAAACCATTCCACAAATATGCAAATTAAACAAAAGTAGAGGCAAAGAGACAGAGAACAACAAAAATAACATTTCTTACATATAAAGATCAAAAGCCTATAAACAGAGACTGAAAACAGTTATACACAAAAGTAGAAAACTCAAATCTAAAAGACAATCACTACCAAGACATGCAACATGGCAACACAAAAAATGCAAAAGCTGCTAGAGATGAAAGAAAATGGGCTCAGTGTCTCATAGTGCATTAGTGTCCAAATGTATTTAACAGTCTTTGCTTGCACACATGTACTTCTCGGTGTCTACCTACTTAACTGTAAAAAACGTTGAGCATTTATGATGACAAAGTGGAGGAAGTGTTCTTTCAGCTAGCACTGGCACAGAAATGCACAATATGCTTTCCGTGTCAAGAATATTCAGGGAGATCCTTGCGCCAGAATCTTCAATCAAACTCCTTTCATAACTCCATCCATTCACTGACTACGCTCCTCTGCCACTCTATTAAAATCAGGCTTAAGCCTGACAGAAAACCCGTAAAAGAAAACTGTGCGCAAATGAATTTGCTCACGGAAACTAGACTGTTCTGTGATATGATCAGAGTAAAAGCCATGTGGACATGAAAAAAGAGCTCTGGCTCTGTCATCTGTCAGGCAGGACGTTACGTTAGTGGAAAAACAGGAATGCTGCAAGGTCAAACTGCAGCGCCAGGCAACCCGTCACGACTCTGCCGCCTGCAAACATGGATGACACTCACTTTGAGTGTGAGCTACTTGTGCATGCGGAGCCAGGGGTTTTAAAAACTGTCTGCTGTGACGCTGCGTGGACAGTGTGTACTATATCTAACGCCCAAAGGCCCGTGAGAGTTCAAACATGGACGCGCAGGATGACCAGACGCGAAAACATCTGCCGGAGGAAGCGCACTGCGCATCAACATCCTCATCATCATGCCTCCATCAGCTGCACCAAAACAAACAGACAGGCCAGAAAACAGCCTGACCCGACAACCAAGAGCTTTACTCTCCACAAATTCCCTGCACGGGGGCTCCATTCACTTATTATTTCTAACCGCTGTTGTGGGCCACTCGGTTCACTACACGCAGACTCGTTCTCCGCACTGAGAGAGCTCTGCAGCATCCACGGATGGCACCGATTTCCATAAACGGGCTTGACCCGGCCCCGCTTACCTGTGCCCGGCTTCCCGTATACCGCTGTTAGTCCGTCCACAGCTCCATCGCCATGGTTGTTGTTGTGTCCCTCATTTCTTCCACCAAGAGCTCCGCCTGATGGAGCGGCGGCACGTCCGAGGAGACGTGGGGAGGAGGGAGAGAGGGGGCTGAGTCAGGAGGGATGCAGGGAGATGCACTGGATGGCTGCCGCGTGAGGAGGAGAGGCACAAGGGTATATGGACGGAAGCATCTGCGTCACGTTACGTCAGATTGATCTTTTTAAAGGGAAACACTGCTTCATTTGTCGGGCTTCAGCTCAGTGCAAACTACAGTGCAAGCTTCTTTAACACCGAGAATACATTATAGACAGGGCTGCTGTCACTGCAAGGAGAAAGTGGTCTGTTACTAGGTAACACTGCAATAAATATATAATTATGGCTATTGTGAAGATGTAAAAATATTTGTTGGGAGTGATCGACAGGATTTTAAATAAGTAAATCAGAGGGACAAATATATGCTCGGACATGTGCAGAGGAGGGGAAGTGGACATTCTGTGTGAATGATGTTGAGGTAGGAAAAGAGGAAGATCACAGAGAAAGTTCGAGGATGTTGTGAAGGAGGACATGCAGAGGGTTGGTGTGACACAAGGGGATGTTGGTCAGAGGATGAGAGAGAAGTAGACAAGCAGCCAGTGTCCAAACAAAAACTTTGAAAGACCTCCAGAAAGACTTTTGTACAGCGTTCAAGATAAACAAGAGTTAGTGAGTTTTCATTGTCCTCATTTAAAGTGCTATTAAATGGTTAAACATTTCTTTGTTTTACATAGACCTGTAATAAAACCTGACTTCCTTTTACTTATTTTTAAAGACTTTGTGCCAAATCTCAAAATTGTCCTATACTGACCGTCTCAGCCATAGTTCAAGAAACAATACCTTTTACTAGAAAAAAAATCTTTAAAATGTTAATAGGCACTTCTGGTATACCTTTGTGTCTTTTTTAATGTGTATATTTCTAAAAGTAGGAAGTTGATCCTATATATCATTACTGAGAACACTGTCCTATGCTCCATTATGTCATATTTGGATTTTCTTCTTTTTTCTGATTTTATGTGGATAGCTATATTTAGCTGAAGAAACTCATTTAAGATCATATACCTGATATACCCCCGTCAATTATTCATGGTAAGTTTTTCTATTAGAATTGTGCAAATATTTAACCATGTTTACAGAAAACTGAAAGTGTTGAGTTTTATTGTCCTTTGGTGTGTGAAAATGCATGCATATTTAAATATAAACAGTATTTTAAATAAAATAATTAGGGGTCATTGTCATCTTATCAACTAATTATGAGAGTTAAGTTAAACCATGCTTATTAACTGACACTAAAACATAAAAGTCCACTGTTGTGATGCCTTTGGGATGTCACTCCAGATGACAAAGATAACACATATCTTTAAGAA